GTGTTTTTACAAAACTTGGTATTGGAATGGGATAAATGATGATGTGATGATTGATTTGTGAACTTGGATTAAATCGTGAAATCTGGTATGTTGGGTGTTTGAGAAAGGTGGTGTATTGAATTGAAAACTGATGCATGTTGGTGTGTTTGGTTTGTAGCTGTTAAAATTTGATTTTTGATGAGTTTATGAATGTAGGTTTGGTGAATTTGAGGTGATATGTTTTTACATAACTTGGGTATGAGATAAATTAGAATAAGGGTGAGATTTAGGCATAAAATAGGGGTTTTAATAGATTTTAAGATCATGGTTTTGTGGAAAGTCTGCAGTTTTGAGAACTGTCTTGGAGCCATTTAAGGCTTAGTTAGTCTCTTATTGTACAAAAATCTAGTAGGTCATCTAGTAAGGGGTCATCTTGCAAGAAAGTGTCTAGCAAATAGATTGTCTGGTAAGAGATCGTCTGGTAAGAGATCTTTTGTTAAGAGATCTTTTGTTAAGAGATCGTTTGTTAAGAGATCGTTTGTTAAGAGATCGTTTGTTAAGAGATCGTTTGGTAAGAGATTGCCTGACAAAGAGTCGTCTAGTAAGAGATTGTCTAGCAAAGAGTAGTTTGGTAAGAGATTGTGTGGTAAGGAGTTATTTGGTAAAGAGTCATCTAGGAAGGAGTCGTCTGGGAAGGAGTCTTCTAGGAAGGAGTCATCTGGGAATGAGTTGTCTGGTAAGGAGTCATATGGTAATATGAGTTGTCTGACAATAACTGTGGTTTGGAATCTCGAATTCAGGGTTCTGAATGTCGGTTTTGGACATTCTTTAGGTCGTTTTAGGGGTTTTGGATCCTTCCAGAACTGTTGGTGGGGGTTTCCACGTTGTTTTCCTTGCCTAGTGTGTGTATAAGGCTACTATGAAGAAAATTATGTTATTGTGTGATTATTATTTTTCAGACTATTATAAATAATTTTTATACTTGAATTACTTTGAGCATGTGATGTTTTTTATGATGTTATCTTTGTGAATGGAATGCTGTCGAAAAGAGTTCCAAGGAGGAACTTCTTATTGATGACTACCAAGTGTTGTGTGTATGAATATATGGAGCTTTGTATTTGAGCTAATCCTAACACTTTAATGATCATCCATTCTCAAGTAAAGAGGGATGAGACATATAATGAGAGTAGCAAGAAGTCCTCTTCTATGGGCTTTACCTTGGCCAAAGACATTACCAAAGGGCTAACCTTCTTTGGTAGCTTGGAGCGGGCCAACAATATTACAACTACAAGTGCATAAACTATCATAGTTTGACATTCATATTGTATCCGAATGATTCAAGTTTAGGTTGATTAAATGAATGACATGTGTGATTAATTGGATTGGAATTGTGTTTTGTGTTGATGTAATAATTGTTCTAGGATAATTCTGTTTACACTAACTTACTCTTGCTTTTGTGTTGTTTGATTTCCTGTATGTGTTATTTTTCTCTTTTGTAATGATCACCTTAATGGTGTGAGCTTTGAGCTTAGAAGAAATTTACTGTGAGTAGATGCTATCGGGTGACAGAGTTGAAGCTTATAGTAAAATGTTTGACTGTTTTCTTTATATTTTGTAAAGTCTATATTACGTCTTTTTTTTTTTCAGTATAATATATCTCGTTGTAGTATATATATTGCTGTATTACTTTCCTAATAATTATAATAACAGTTTATATATTTTACTCAAATAAATTATTTTGTAAATATTAAAAATGTGTTATATTAAACACTCTTAATGTTCATAAATTATTTCTTAGATAAGGTTATTAGTACTTTCCTATTATTTCTTACGCATTCTAAAGTAATTTTCTTCAACTATGTTTGAGCTTAAAATTAATTGACAAAAAGTGAAATTATAAAAGAAAAAAAAAATACACTCCAAGATTTGTAACAGGTAGGTAAGGTGGTACTTCTAATGTTTTTAACCTGTTTTATTAACTTTAACTTCAAAGTTATCCCTATGTGGTCATGTAACAAAAGTTAGATAAATAACTTTTTGTTTGGAACTCAAGTTATATTAACATCAAGGACCTTGAGTGGTGTCAGAGGCCCGTCCCAAGACTCAAATAATCTCAAGTTCCTAAGTTTTCTTATTTTCAGTTTAGTTATTGGGTAATGCATTTCATTATTTTTTTTTTTTGATAAAATATCAAAATTCTTATAACTCATTAGAAAATTTATTAAAAAAAATAATTCTGTAGTTGCTTTGAGATACATAATGGTGAAATGTATATAGAACTTAAATTTCATAAAATAAAAAATAGTATGATTCATGACTTCGGGTTTTGATAGAAGAAAAATAATGATGACATCACAGACATAGTTGGTTCTGGTAAAAAAATATATTTTGATTCTTTTTTATATACATGAATGTACTTTTTTTTATTTGATTGAAACCACTTACAATATAGAAACTCTTTTACTTGAATTAGAATAATTGAAAATTTTAAAAGATGATGATTAGAAAAAAACAAATATATTGCACGAATTTAAGTTTAGGTGAACATTGATTTCCTATTGTTGGGTAAAAGTTGATAATAAGAGAATTTAATTCCATATTACAATTATTAAAGTGTTTTAAAAAAATGATTATCTCTAAACCATATGATGGTTAGAAAATATTATTAATAAATTGTCATCTTTGAAATAGTTTTGTTTAAAGTAGATTTTATTTGAAATCAAATACATCATAAAATAAATATTGTCTGAATGAATGGACATAAAGTGAGTAAGAGACATTGAAATCTCTTTCTACAAGACTTAATAACTTTACAGCTTAAAACATTACAAAATAAAATGAAAATTAATTATATATTTATAATAAATTAAGACTTAAAACAAATTTAGGCTTGTTTTCTAGTTGTAGCACATACCAACTGTTCCTAGCTGACAAGAGTGTAAGAGTGGAAGGAGGGGGTAATGGTGGAGATTTTAATTATTAGTAGAGGAAACATTTTGCCATTTTAGGAATCTGATTACAATGTAAAAAAAAAAAAGAGAATGAGAGTGAGAGTGAGAGTGAGAGAAAAACTCTGAATACTATGTAAGAAAGAGAGAGATGTAAAAAAAAAAAAACTTGAGAGTGAGAGTGCGAGATGAACTCTGAATACTATGTAAGAAAGAGAGAGAAAGGAAAGAGATAGTATTGTAATGAATGTATCTTTGTAAAATATCAGACTTTGGTACTTACAACATAATGTGAATCAATACACTTTGAAATTTATATTTCCAACAAAGTTTCTCCAAACAAAAATCAAATATTTATAAAAAAATCAATCTCAAAGTTCAACTTCATATACTCAAGAACACCAAACATCAAAACAAGTGCAGCAATTTTTTAGTACATGGGGAACGCCAAATATCAATGTTTTTCAGGGCAGAAAATAAAGACTAAAAACCCTGATTCCTATAGATAACTGGCATTAAGCAGGCCCAATATGCTTTAATAGCCAATGCATATTTCACATTTGCACTAGCTCTAGAAAACTCATATATATGATCAAGTTATTGGCTTTCTTTATTTAGATTTGCCTCTAAAAGTTCATGATGATGTAAACATAAGTAATGCGTAGGCTTAAGAAGCATAAACACATAACGCACTACATTGCACAATAATTAACAAAAGGCTCAACTATTTTATGGACACAATGTCGACATACTATACTCATAAAGTTAGTAAAGTTATAAAACATTAAAGTTTTGGACCTTAATTTTTGGATGCTTATAAATATTTCATGCCCTCTCACCCTGATATTTAAAGTGTACCGTTCTTTTTTATGAGATTATTGTTTCGTTGTGTTCTTGATCTCAATGCTTTTACTTATTTTTTTTGGAGAAACAAATCTCAGTGCGGACAAATGACAACAAAAGTGAGAAAAACAGTTATGTGCATGTTTGTGCATCTTATTTTTGTTTTAAAATGGTTTGGTTGCCACTCTTCATTGGACCATAAACACAAATGACCAATGCATGTGTCTTGTACAAAGTTCGATCATTAAAGGTGGCAGCAGGTTGCAATGCATGTTCATCAACAGTGCTCTGTGCATAAAATCTGAGGGGTGTAATTGGCTAAAGAGAGAATCTCTGTCCACGTTTGTTGAAAATAAGCATGAAACCTGCAAAACTTTTAATCTCTCTCGTGAACAAGGTTGTTTGACAGTGTGAGAGCAGTGAAATGAAAAAAAAACAAAGGTGTGAGTCATATAAAGCTGAAATAGTTTGAGGAGAAGAGAACTTGTTAAGATTAAATCACCATGAAGAGGTAGGACTTATAATTCCAGATTTCAAATTAAAACCCTTTATCAACCACAACCACTGCCCTACTAAAGTTATATATCCTTAACACCTAACATGAAAAAAATAAAATGTAAGTTGTGATGATAAATACAGACACTGAGGTATATGCTACTAATGATGATAATTATCTAAGGACAGCATGATATAAAAGTTCTTGAACATATGATGGTTCATTATCCAAATTCAAAACCATGGTAACCTTTTTTCTCTTCTTATCACTTCTTTTTGGAATTCTAAATGCTTACATTATTCAAATATGTTATTCAGAATTTCAGTGAAAAATGTTGCACAATGTTGCCATATATATGTCTTATCTCCTAGCTCCCCTATCTTTATTTTCACTATTAGTGATGGAGCTGTAAGAGAATGCATTTGGTTGTCACAACGCACTTATGCCTTCATTTCCTACACTTTAAGTCCATAGTCAAACATTTATTTATGCCTTGGTTCGTATCGATTTTTGAAGTATAAAACAGTGATTTTGTCTTTTCTTTTTAGGATGCTCGCAAGCAATAATAGCTTTCTTAGGTGACTTTGTCTTGAATGTAGTGCCGCACTGCCTCATGCACTTCACCATTATTTAATTAAGAGATAAACAGCAAATGGGACTCTTACATCAAGTTGCACCAAAAGTGACCGTAAAGCAATGGTATATAATAGCCTCTAAAGCCTAAACAGAACACAGTCTTGGAGTGAAGGGTGCTGTGAAACTGGAATTCAGGGTGAGGAGCTAGCAAGAGTCCTTGCCATCACTCATTCCTATTGTCCTTTGTCCTTCTTCTGTGCAAGTTCTTTAATCAGTCATACTAGATGGAGAGCCAACAGGAAGTGATAGTAGGAAAGGTATGTGAAATCTATGAGGAAATCTCCAAACTTGGAGACCTCAACCCCTCCAGCCATGTCAACAACCTCTTCACCCAACTTGTCACGATTTGCACCACCCCATGTCAAATAGATGTTTCTCAGCTGAGCCAACAGGTTAGAGAAACCGTAGCAAAGCTCATTAGACTTTGTGGGAAAGCTGAGGGACTTCTTGAGAGTCACTACTCAACCATCATAGGATCATATGAAAATCCTTTAAACCACATGAAACTCTTCCCCTACTACTCTAATTACCTCAAACTAAGTCACTTGGAGTTCACCATGCTCACCACACACTGCACCCAACAAGTCCCCTCCCAACTTGCCTTTGTGGGCTCAGGTCCCCTTCCTCTCACCTCAATCATTTTGGCCACCCATTATCTCAGGCAGACATGCTTCCACAACTACGACATAGATCCTTTGGCAAATGCCAAGGCTTATGGCTTGGTCTCTGCGGATCCTGACTTGTCCAAGAGAATGTTCTTCCACACTAATGATATTCTAAACGTGTCAAATGGCCTCAAGGACTATAACGTGGTCTACTTGGCAGCACTTGTGGGCATGGACCATAAGGATAAAGCAGAAGTCATCAAACACCTTGCCAAGTTCATGGCTCCAGGAGCTATTTTGCTGTTGAGGAGTGCACATGGTGCTAGAGCCTTCCTCTACCCGGTGGTTGATCTTTCTTCCGATCTCAAAGGTTTTGAAGTTCTCTCGGTTTTTCACCCCACTGATGAGGTTATTAACTCAGTTATTGTTGCACGCAAGCATTTGGTGAATCAAGGGACTTATTCAGCAGTGTTGGCTAGCAAATGCTATGGAGTTGAAGGGTTTAATCCCTTCAACCATGGGAAGGTTATTGAGGAGTTGACAGTTGAGGATCAAGCTTGAGGGGAGGGACATGGTGGCTCCTTAATTTGTGTCGTCCATCATAAATCATCATCTACTAACATATGATGTGATGTTATATGATGTGATATTGCATTAGCAGTTATTATTACACAAGAAGTGTATCACCAGCATGACATTATTGTTGTTGGATAATAAAACCTGTTTTGTTAACATCTCACCTTCTGCTTCTTCTCTTTTCCTCCACTCAGAAAACTTCACTATTGTCTCTTTGAAAGTTTTTGGACAATAATTGGACAGTGATCTCTGTTCAAAACTGAGCTGATTATTTTTTTTTTTTACAAAATCAAAACATTAAAATTATAGAAGAAAGAAATTATCTAATTTAAAAATTGAAATGCAAATCATCCAACTTATACTTGTAAAAAAATATTAAAAAAATAAAACTCATTGTAAAATAATAAAATTAAATTAAATAAATGCTTTAACAACTTTTGAAATCAAACAGCACTTAAATTTATAGGTATTATACACAATATAAAAACTCTACAGTTCATTTACATTGAATTAAATGAATATAAAGCCTAACTTTTTAAGCTTAATAATAAATATTTTCCCTGGATTTTTACAATTTTTGTAATTTTGCCATTAAATTTTTAATTTTGCAAATTTTACCATATAAACTTTTTATATTTTTATGAATTGACTATGATATTAGTAAGGACATAATAAGGGAATTAATGTAAGGAACTTTTTAGTTCAATTACAAAAACGGATTTTAGTTACTTAGCAAATGTAATATGGCAATCCCAAAAAAATTTAAATATTAACGGATTAAAAATAATAATCAATTATAGATGAATTTTTTAAAAATTTAATTATCTATAAATATTAAAAAAAATTAATGACTGATGAATTTAAAATAAGAATTATTGAAAAATTTTAATATGAATTTTATCACAAAATGAATAAAAACTTTAAAAAAAATCCTATACGTATTTATCCATGAATTTTTTTGGTGCTATCAAATCTATTACCAATAAAAAATTTATTTGTAATAAAAGTTATATAAATTAGTTTATTAATGAATTTTAATAATAGATATATTATGTAATATTTTAAGTTCAGTTTACAATTGATAAAAGTGTTATAAAATTGATAAAATAAATCAGATTTATTTCAAACTTGTAGATACAATATTAATACTAAAAGAAAACACTAAAGAAACAACATGATAAGTTAATATCCAAAAATAAATTCATAAAACTAACATAGAAATATTATTATACATCACTTATTTATCGAAACAATTATATCACATTTGAAGACTCGTATTAGACTCAATTATCTTTATACATGTGTCCTTGAGTTAAATTAGTGGAGTTATGCATTTGTGGTAATAAAAATACTATTGTACCACACACACAATGTTAGTCTTTGTCATAGTCATAAGAACCATAGGGTTGTCCTTATGACAGGACCTCCTGTCAGTGTCACTGTCACTATCTAATTATCATCCTTTACATGAGTATGAACTATTAATAGAGTTCAGGATGATTACACAAATGGAATAGTCCTTACCTCAAGACACACATTAGTGAAACACACATTGTATGGGATTCCCTTCCTAAAAATCATTGCTTCATCATCACTTTCATACCATGATTTAGCAAACTCATATCGCATCAATATCATCATTCATTAAAACATCATAGTACTCATAAACATACATAAAGTATTGTAAATTCTATCTCAAATAGACATGGAAATGAATTTTCAAACATGCACACTAATGCTCAAAAGTGGTGCCCAACACTAGGTTTCTTGTAGAAGGTGGCCCTTAGTAGCATTCCTGGTGCTTAACATCAGACCTTTCACAAAAGGTGACACTCAATCTAGCACTTAGCGAGAGTCTGAGCGCTCAACGCATTCTTCTCACAAAATATTGTACTTAGTGACACCCTCCTATGGCTCAACATTCAGGAACAAAAATGATTCAAACTTGTAGTGAAAGATGACACTCAACAGTGCCCTACTGCCGCTCAATGCCAAAACATTCACAGTTTACTATGTTTAGCCATACAAAACCGACACTCAAACTAACACTTAGCACTAACTTGCAATCACTCAACGTTGTATCAGACATCAACAAATAAATTTATGTGATTTGGAGAAAAATGAATATGTTCAAATAATCAAATTGGTATTCCCTTCTTAGTATTTTGGTTAAAAACAACTTTTAATGTTAAGGCACATACCAGTTGGCTCAAATGATTAGATCATAAGTTTCTTAATCAACACAATTTCAACCAAGACAAATAACATAACAAACATCCAACACAAACCAAATTCAATAGATCAAGCATCATCATACTAGTCAATCATACAAAACAATATTTCAAGATATCTAGAACTTTTAAACAAATGCAATTAGCTTCCCTTACTTAAGAGACAAAAAAACTTGCTCATAAGAATCCTAAACCTCTTTCAAGCTCACAAGATGTTCTATCTACACCTAGAAACAACACAAGCACGATCATACTCCATTAGAATAATTGATCAGTAGAAACTCATATAGATGTTTAACAGACACATGCAAGTGAAAAAAGACTCACATGTAACAAATAACAAAAAATGACCAATGTATTGTATGTGATCGAGGACCCCTCAGTCATGCTACTTATAGCCTTTAACCAGGTTACCCAAGACAAATGATATTTTATTGCTTACCAGAAACCTAGCCTTGTACCAGATATCAAGTGTCAGGTATTGAATGCTGAGGACTATGAAGGATGGATCCCCTGGCCTAATGTCGAATACTGGTCACCGGATGCCAAGTATCGGGTATTATGCCTCCAACACAAAGTATACACCTTTTTGACAACCATGTTAATCGCTACGTCAGATATTGCCTATTGATGCCTTTGTATGTCTGCTAGAGACATTTTCGTGTTGGATAACTTAACCAAAAGAAAGTTGTTGTAGCCTCTCACAGGTTAGTTGACTATTGAGCCTTTGGGTCAATGAACCATAATTGAGGCTTAATTAGATGGGAACCCATGGTCAGCAATATTCCCATTAATATTATTTTAATCGTGATTTGATTTCACCTTTTCCATTAATAAAATTTTTGACTAGAATCTCTAACTTAAGCATAAGAGAATTTTCTGCATGCATCTCACATCATCTAGTAGAGGACAAAAGAGGCTTGAAAGACATGTATCGAGAAAGTGGAATTAATAGAGTGAAGAAAGACTTCACAGAATAAGTTCAGTTCCATAAGAATAACCAAGAAAAAAAGAGTCAAAAATCAACTTACACATTAGTCTAAACTGAAAAGCTTGAGATTACAAGAATGTTAATCTTGATTCTTTATTCAAACAAACAAAGAAGAAAAACAATTATAAAGAAATAAAATAACTCTAACAAAATGATTTTTAGATAAATAATGTGTTTTAAAATAATCAATATCATTTTTAATAAAATTATTTATATTAAAATCTTTAAACATTAAAATAATTAAGTTTGTGAATTACTATTATTTTTGAAATATCATTTTTTTTATATCAAGATATCACATAAAAAATTTTGTATAAAAAAAAATTGTTGATACCAACAAATTATAATTCATAAATAAATTTTAGGGATGGATAAAAATTCTAAAATTCATCAATAAAATTTATTTATCAATAATTATTTTTTATAACTTAATATAGTGATAAAATCGTATAAGTTATTTTATTATTATACATGTGAACCTAGAAAAATTAATAAAAACATAAGTTAGTTGGATATTTTAACATAATGAGAAAATCAAAGTTTTAATATCGTAAATTAGTTCCTTAGAATCTATAGAATAAAATACCAATAAATTAAACAAATAATTTAATAATTAATGGTAGGAATCTTTTCAATCAATCATAGCATAAATTATTTTTAGTTCATTTGTTATCACACTGCACTTTCTTGTATTTAAGTTCATTTTATCACACAATTAATAAATTGACTTCTAATTTATATACAAAAAATGTGTACAATTTTAAAATTTAAATGAAAAAAAAATCAAAATTAGAATCTTATTGATAAAATTCATAAAATTGAAAATTCAACAATAACACTCACAAAAGGTAAAAAATATAATTTAAAATGTAATACATATTCCATACTTAACTGAAAATACAAGCTTTGGAAACCATTATTATATAGTTAATAAATTACATTTTTTTATCAACTTTTAATAAATTACATAGTTAATAGAATGAGTATAATTTCAAAATTCATGTAAAAAAAATCGTAATATTAAAACTTCAATAACGATATTTTAAAATGAAATAGGTGTTTTTGATGATCTCAATAATAAACCCAAAGTTAAAAAATTAGTAAATATAAAATTATGGATGTAAAATACATTTTTAAATTAGAGGATTTTTATAATCTGATTATCAAGTAGTTAAAAAGTTAAATATCATTTGATTACCAGCTGGAAGGTAAAAAAATTGGGATAGAAAAATGAATTGGATTAAAGGAAGTGTTGAAAATTAAGGAAGGATTGATTAGAAGATAGACACGTATCTCAGAGCAACCGAACCACCTTCCCCTGTTCCCATTTCCCCTATTTTTCAACTTCTTTTTTTTCTTCTTCTTATTCGTTTCCATTCCCAGCCATAATCACTGCTAGCTTTTACCGCCGACAATGGCCGACAAGTACAACCTCAAGAACCCCGCCGTCAAGCGGATCCTCCAGGAGGTCAAGGAGATGCATTCCAACCCCTCGGACGATTTCATGAGCCTACCTCTCGAGGTTCATTTTTACCCCTTAGATCATATCCGTCATCTGTGCTTTATGTTCTTTCATTTCGCCACCTTGTGACGAAGGATTTGTGTGAGATCGCGGGATTGTGCGTGTGGTTCAATGGGATTTGTCGTGGTTCGTGGCGAGAAATTGTGAATGTCTTTTTGATGTGTGATTGTGATTGTGCTTGTTTTGGGAAATTCCTTTATTTGGTGTTTGGATGGGGAAATTTATGATTTTTAAAAATTATGATGGAATTTTGGGGAAATTGTGTTATTGGGTGTTTTATGTTTAAGGGGATTTCACTTTATGGGCTGTTCTGAATTCTGTGCAAATTTTAACATTGTAAAAATATGTGAGCTCAAACCTTGTTGTCAATTTGAGTATTTTGCTTTAATTGTTGGATAATCTGTAACTATAAGCATT